CCCTCATACTCTTATTTGGCCTCTGCATTGAAGACTACTAGAATTCCCCCAGAGTAGGGGGTGCCAATAACTGGTAAGCCTGTTTTAGAAGATAAATTATATGTCTTTTGTTACCATAATCAAATTGGTAATCTGGAGACTATTATCTAGGTGTTTTTTCAAGTTGCTTGCATTCTCATTTCTTTCCAAAAATGATTGTATTTTATACATTTTTGAACTATCTATTCTTCTTCCCTTCGTTCCTTCCCCCTCCCTTCTCTCTTTGGTCTATTGGTACTTTTTTTTTTCTTTTACAAATTTTTAAGATCCAAATAGCAGAGAGATTCAAGCCATGTTTTATGAATGAAGGTTTCTTTGAAAGTTACCATGGAGAACTGATTCATCTCTCGGTGTCATTTATTGTTGTTTCTCTTGGTTTTACTATGTGGTATTGTAATTACTAGGGCTCATTTCTATCCAAAACAAACCCTTTAACATTTCATTGTCACATTTCAGTGTTTCTAGTAGGTTTTTCTTTATATCTGTACAACTTCCTATTAAGAGAATACAAGCACATTTACTGTTTTGTGGCTGTGAGAGATCTCTTGGCACAAGGCTTTTCATTAGTGCCTTCAGAACATAAAAAATTAGGGAAAGATGGGCATGTAGCAGCCACAGGCAATGCAGTGTGATCAGATCCATGGGTGTAATGTCTCCAGAGACTCGAGGGGAGTAAAAATGTAGGAAGGAGCAACAACTGATCCCAGCACTGAGATAAAATGTGAGAGTCAGTCCATCAATAGTTATGGTGTAATATCTTGCTCTGTAAGATAAAGCAGCACAGTCAGGAGTATGTTTATATAAGCAAGTGACTCTTATCTTGGCAATTCACAGAATAGCACTCCATCCACCTGTCCCACACAAATGCAAAGATGTATATTTAAATATCAGCATCTGAATTAACTTAGCAAGCTTATCACTGTCCAATGAAATGTAAAGTCAACAATGCTAAACTATTTTCAAACACCCATTGACTCTAAATTGAAGGATATTCTATTAGATAAACATGTCTTTGAAGTGATCACAAAAAACTGTTGCATATAAAATTCTCTAATGTACACATGTACTGGCTCTGGGTCTACACATTATCTCACAAGCCTCCAAACTCAGATGTCTGTTGCCTACTAAGGTCTGTAAGGAATTATGTGTCTTCATCCTTAGCATTTCCTTGCTACAGCCTAACTGAGTGTGAATGACTTAAGGCTCTCTAACATTCATGGATATTATTATAGATCTCTCTTAAATCAAAATTGACATTTGTAGCCTCAAAAGAGTTTTTACTTTGACATGCCATAAATTCATTCAATTCTCAAAATTTCTATTTAAAGTGTTTCTAATAAAAACTCATAGATTTTCTTAACATTTATTGTCAAGGCTTAATGACTAACATGGGCATGAGTACTTTAAAAATGACTTTCCATCTTCACTACAAAAATACAATTTTCCATGGCTGTCTTATTGTATCACAGCTTGAGCATTTAGTGTCTCAGGCTCTGGCAAAACAAATTTTCTTTCTCTATTAGTAGTAATGCTTTGTTAGTCACAATGGTTGCTATTCACAACCATATGCTGCGGAAAAATGAAAAAAATTTCAAAAGACAGAACTTGAAAGAAAACCTTCAGTTCATATTAAAATATTATCTCAAAGCAGACACAGTCATTCAAGGAAAACTGGGTTTTGTTTATCAAAATTTTGTATTTAAAAATTCATGTAGATATACTCTGTCAGCATACAATGTCTAAACTATTGCCCTCAAATATATTTAAAATGTATATAAGCAATTGAAGAATGCTATCACAGAATCATTTGTGATTGTAAAATATTGTAAATATAATTACAGTACAAATTTGTATCACAATCATTGTGTATCTATTTAACAAAGTACTATGAAACTATTAAATTTTTTTAATTAAAAATGACCTTCATTCACTTTAGACAACTTATTCACATTTTTATGCAATCTTAACAAACACTAACATGACTTTAATTTTTTTCCCTTTAGAATAAAAATTTTGAGGATTTGTCTACCACTAAAGAGTCAGTCCAAGAAGAGATTGTAAACAAGCACAACCAACTGAGAAGAATGGTTTCTCCACCTGGTAGTGACTTACTAAAGATGGTGAG